GAAATTTTCCATAAATAAAAGTTTTTTTAGCCCACTCTAACCTCAAACTCCTGGATTCAATTCAAGCGATCCTCCCACTTTAGCCTCCCAAGTACCTAGAACTAAGGTGTGTGCCACTAGACCTGGTTAATTTTTTTATTTTTTATAGAGACAGGGTCTCACTGTATTGCCCAGGCTGGCCTAAACTCCTGCCTTAAATTATACTCCTGCCTTGACCTCCCAGTATGCTGGGATTATAGGCAAGAGCCACCATGCCCAGCCACAATAAAAACTTTTTAATGAAAATAGCAGAATGGGAAATACATATACTAAGTATAACTGATAAAATTTTTATTCAAAAAATATAAATAATCTTCATCTTAACTGTAGATAACTTTCAAAACCAGGTTCCACTCACTCTGAAAAAAAGGCAAACAGTACAGTGGTCACTCCATACCCACAGGGTATATGACACTGAATATAGTGTCAGTGCTGGCCGTGTAAGTTGTAGTACATTGCTTTTTTTTTTTTTTTTTTGGAGACAGAGCTTTGCTCTGTTGCCCAGGTTAGAGTGCAGTGGTGTAATGTCAGCTCGCTAACCTCTGCCTCCTGGGTTCAAGTGATTCTCCTGCCTCAGCTTCCTGAGTAGCTGGGATTACAGACGCTCTTGCCACCACGCCCAGCTAATTTTTGTATCTTTGTAGAGATGGGAGTTTCACCGTATTGGTCAAACTGGTCTCAAACTCCTGACCTCAGGTGATCTGCCAGCCTTGGCCTCCCAAAGTGCTGAGATTACAAGCCTGAGCCACCGCGCCCAGGCTGCATTTTAAAATTTATATAACTTTTGTTGTATTGTTGTATTTTATTATTTGTAGTTTTTTCTTTTCACATATTTTTCCCTTTGTAGTTGGCTGAATCTGTGGATGCAGAAGCCGTGAATATGGAGAGCCAACTGTAGATTGTGATCACAGAAAAACTTGTAGCTTTTTAATTAAATAGAAATAAAATGAACATGAAAGCATTGCTATGTGCTTTTTAAGCTAGAAAAAAATAATGATTACTCCATACTTACTAGTGGATCTATCTTCCTGAAGGGCAAGCTAGCAAAATGGGAAATATTTATAAAACTGTTCATTCACTTTACCTAGCCTTAGGGGATACACATGTTTAAGATGTTAGTGAATGCCACTGTAGAACATAAATTATTCCATTCATACTTAGATGACCTCATCAGCGCCCTTAATGATTTTATAAAACTTACTGTGTACCGGGCAATGTACCCATTCTTTGAGTCCTCACAACTCTGCTGCAAGGCTAGGTTGTATGATTGCACCTTACAGTTGAAAGTTAACTTTCCCCAAATCACACATTAACACAAGCACACTCAGGATTTGAGCCCAGGCAGTCTCAACTTCAGACTTCCCACTTTACATCATTTCACCAAACTGTCTCAGAACTAAAGCCACTTGTCAAATAGTTGACTCTCCTTGGTTAGGGCCATTTAATTACCTCTACATGGCTACTAAAAGTGATAGCTGCATTTTGGTACAGATTCTAAATGGTTTTGAATATAATGCCCATGGGTTTAAGCAGTGAAACAGATCCGATATATTACCAGTGACATTATAAATAAGTACAGTCCTTTTTGGAAAGCATTTTGGCAGCAGATTGAAAGAGCATAAAATGCTCATTTTTTTTGACCTAGTTAGTGTCACTTCTGGGAATCATCTTAAAAAACAGTCAGATATGGAAAAATCACTTACGCACTTAAGTGATCACCACAGCCGTGCTTGCAATAGTAGAGTGACGGGAAACAACCTTCAGTGTCCAACGATGAGGGAATGAATGACCAAACCAACCATGGTATATTGACTTAGACCAGTAAAAATGAAGGGTGATGCCACATGAGGAAAACATAGTCATCAAGAGTGGAAGCAGCACACAGAGCAGTACAAATACTAAAATTACAGCTTTTACAAATATGAAAAAAGACGGAATATAAAAATGATAATCAGATTGGTGTGACTGTTAATTTTATTTCCATAATTACTTACTGGTTTTCTGCCTTAGTCTCATAACCCTCAGTAGATGATATGCTGCTTGGTGACAGAGGCAGGATACTGGAATCGTACAAAGAGCATCACTGGAGGCCACAGGGTCTGGGCTCTTTGCAGGCGCCTCCTCTGTGTGTGTGCAAACCTCAGGCAGCCACTCTGTGCTTTCATGCCCTCAGTTGACCCAGGGTGAGCGGTGCAGTTTGGAAAGCATGAATGGGATCACTGGAGTCAGAGGGACCTCGCTGTGTGTCTTCGGCTCTTTCCAGAAAACCTGTTGAAACTGGGTAGAGCTCAACCTTCTCATCCATACAAATAAGGCAAATGAGGTTGGGGTCTGGCACCTTTTGTCAGTGCTCTGAAAATGTTCCATTCGGTGATAGCCGTTAGAAAGCGTTCCTCACTTTCCTTTGGCCTTTGGGCATTAAGGACAGTAACAAATGTAAAGCCTTTCAATGAACTTATTTTGCTGAAATCTTTTGAGCATCAGTTTTTTAAAAAATTTACGTGTTCTTCTGTTTTCTGGTGTACCTTATCCTCCATAATTTAGAATTAAGGAGGAAGATAAAAAGAGATTTTGTCATTCACTGTGGCTGGCTAGGTTTTCTGGGGGGTTATTTTTTTTATTTTTATTTTTTGGAGATGGAGTCTTGCTCTTTCACCCAGGCTTGAGTGCAGTGGTGTAATCTCAGCTCTCTGCAACCTCCACCTCCCAGGTTCAAGCAATTTGCCTGCCTTAACCTTTCAAGTAGCTGGAACTACAGGCACCTGCCACCATGCCCAGCTAATTTTTGTATTTTTAGTAGGGGGAGGGTTTTACCATGTTGGCCAGGATGGTCTCGATCTCCTGACCTCGTGATCTGCCCACCTTGGCCTCCCAAAGTGCTGGGATTGCAGGTGTGAGCCACCATGCCCAGCCGATTTTCTGTTTTGTTTTAATATTTTTTTTCTGATTATAAAAATGTAGTAAAAGCTCATTGCTGAGTGTTTGGAAAACAGAAAGCCAAAAGAAGAAAATTGGACAACAATTTTCCCACTCAGAAATAACTGTTAAATGCATCTCATTTTACCTTCTTCCATGCTTTTCTGAATATCTGATTTTTTCTTATTTTCGAAAGGAGAAATACAAGAAAGCTTTTACTAGAACATTTTCTATATTTAGAGCAAGTTTAACATGATGCTGTGTGTTCATTTTGAGAGAGTTTATCTTTAACAAATAGTTCTTAGATGGGAATAAAGACCAGTAGCAATAGGGAGCCAGATGGAAGGTGGAGAGAGGAATATCTCTCTCTTAATTAGGAGGAAGAAGTTTTCTGTAATTCTGGTACCTGTCAAAGAAGGAACTTATGTAAAGTGTAATTGCCAAAATCATGCGTCTTAAGACTTTTCAGGAGGATTGCAGTTTGAAATAATTTGTATTGTTTTCATCCTAAATGCCTTGTATCTTTTCAGACCATGAATTGTGAATTTTGGTTTGGTAAAATATCATCCTACATAAACTTGGAATAAAGGAGAAGCTTGCAAAATACGACTTCTTGGCTCTTGGCCTTACTATTTTTAGAACATGCAGTTTTCAGAAATCATTAGTTCCTGTAATGTCCTCTGTAGAAAAGTGGAAAATTCCTCCACTTCAAAGATAGAACCAATAGCAATACCTGGAACACGTGGAAAGACAGCCTAAGTGACTGTGGCCATAGGGGGCTGGGCATTGGTGGAGCATCAGTCTCACTCATGCTTTCCTTATGCTTAAATCAGTAGAGGGCTGGGTGCCATGGCTCATGCCCATAACCGCAGCTCGTCGGGAGGCCGAGGAGGCAGGCAAATCACTTGAGGTCAGGAGTTAGTGACCAGCCTGGCCCACATGGTAAAACCCCATCTTTACTAAAAATACGAAACAATTAGCCAGGCATGGTGGCGTGTGCCTGTAATCCCAGCTACTTGGGAGGCTGAGGCAGGAAAACTGCTTGAACCAGTGAAGCAGAGGTTGCAGTAAGCCAAGACCACACCACTGCGCTCCAGCCTGGGTGATAGAACGAGACTGTCTCAAAAAAATTAATAATAAAAGGAGAGAATGGACTTGGCTAGTGGATTCAGCACACTGTTTTCTGGGCTCTACTGCTCAAGGGAGGGTTTTAAAGGTTGGGAAAAGGGTCTTTGTCCATTTCTTTTCTTCAGAACAGCAATCGAAGTGTTAATAGTGGCAGAGCATATCCCATATAGATAATTTTCAGTGTGACAGATTTGTCACTGCCATGACTGAGGAGAACATGAGAAATGTTTCGGTCAGTGTGTTGTGTTCACTCTCCTTTGAAGACACCATGGTGGCTTGTGCCCCTTTGACTTCTGAGCTCTGCTGCCACAGGCAAGAGACTCCCGCTTGGCTAGAAGTAGGTTCTCACACTCCTGCCTAGTGTCTGCACGTCAGGGAAGTCACTTGTCCTTTTGAGTCATTTCTTCTGACAAGACTGAGCATAAACCTTTACTCATGCTTGTTAACCTTTCTAACCAGTTCCTCTTTGAGGAAGGTCATTTATTTACAAGGGGAGAAAACCAAACCTAGAGCACAGTTTGAGTTTCCAGCTTAGAGTTTCATTGACATCCACAGCTTTAGACAATACTTACATACAAAGGGGAAAATGAGAATTTGCCAGTGTCTTATGAAAACAGAATGAATACCGTTAGCCTTGAAACCTTCTATTTTGAATAACTGTGGCCCATCTAAAACTAGGCCTGTATAAAATATAGCTTGGCACTCTGTGAAAAGACAGATGGAGGATCTGAGACTTTTGAGCATTTTGAACTGCTAGGGAAAGTAGTCCCCAAGCAGTAAGAGGGAGGAAACCTAGAAAGTTAGTTGAACTTAACACACTGGTCTCATGAGAGATCATCAGTGTTGTTTAATTCACTTTACTTTGTAGACTTCTTCTGTAATTGACTACTGATCAGAGTGATATCCTTTTTTTTCAGTATTGCCTATCTGGGCACCCAACCTTACCATGCAATGTGCTCAAATTCAAATCAACCACCATTATGTTGGACTGTGGACTGGACATGACTTCCACCCTCAATTTCCTTCCTTTGCCACTTGTTCAAAGGTATGTGCTCGTGCATCCAAAGACAGAATGAGCTTTAAATTTGCTGGAAAAATGGTACTGTTAGTATAAAGATTACTAGTACCTAGTGTATTGTCGTTAAGTTTGCTTTGTTCCCTTAAAAATGTTCTTTATCAAAATAATTTCATTGGCTGAGTTGATGGAAAGTGCTCTATTGATTTATAGATTGGCTTCTTTATTATAACTTCTTCTGAGCTTCTGTAAAATGTTCTTGCAACTGCTCAGTACAACTGAGGTCATGTATATTTCATCTTTCTTGCTAATTCACATGAGAGCTGGTAAATGGTCAACTGATGGGCCCAAGAATTGAATTTTAGAATTATTTAGCAGCCTTTGCAGAGACTTAACATCATAGAATCTGACATTTCTTTTCGATAGGCATCTGTGCATTATTTTCAAACTAAGTCAACTTTAGATTTAGAACCACATATGTAGCCCAAGTTCGTATCTTAAATGAGACAGACAGCCTCAGGCCTACAGTCAGCTTAACTAAGACTTTGCCTTAGGAAATTGGTTTGCCAGCATACTACTATTTAGAAACAGTTTGTAAAAGTGGCTACCTTGTAGAAGCAAATATACTTACAGTAGCAAAAAGTGACACCGCATACAAGCTAGGATAGCTTTTCTAAAGCTATCTAAAGCAGATTTAAGAGCTCAAAAGCATAGCAAACTGGGTAAGCTTTCTAGTTTATCTCATTCATTCCTGAAGACATCACTGAGTGCAATGATTATTCACAATGATAACCCTATGAACCATCTAGAAGAATTATCATCAACTATTGATTTTTCTGAGATAAGGGGTACAGTAAGGTGGTATGAGGATAAGGTCAGAGATAAGTCCAGATTACATTTTATGCAAAGCTGATGGAATTCAATTATAATTATACCTAGCACTTAGAAATACATATGCCACCCACAGGCCAGGCTCAGTGACTCAGGCTTGTAATCCTAGCACTTTTGGAGGTCAAGGCAAGTGAATCACCTGAGGTCAGGAGTTTGAGACCAGCCTCGCTGACCCTGAAGGCCTGTCTCTACTGAAAATACACACACACACAGACACACACACACGCACACAGTTATCCAGGCATGGTGGCGAGTGCCTGTAATCCCAGCTACTTGGGAGGCTGAGGCAGGAGGATCGCTTGAACCTGGGAGGTGGAGGGCGCAGTAAGCCAAGATTACGCCACTGCACTCCAGCCTGGACAACAGAGTGAGACTCCATCTCAAAAAAAAAAAAAAGAATAAATAAATAAATAAATACATGTACCACCCACAGATATTACCCAAAAATGGGGTTTGGGGGGAGCTTATTTACATGACAATGGGTTGTTTCCTAATAGCCTGGTATTATTGTCTTTTTTCCCCAAAGAACAAAATGTTTGTTTGTTTGATTGATGTTTGTTAAAAATCTGCACTGTTCCTGACCAGTGGATATAGAGATGAACAGAATAACTTACTTTTCTTCATGGAACTTACAGTCTATCAGGGAGAAAGACATCACACAGATGCAGATTTTATTACACTTGTGATTAGAAAACAAGTATACATGCTTAGGATAATCACTTACAAAATAAAATACACGATACCATGAGAGCTTCCAAAAGGGAGCCCAACCTGCTCTGCGGGGTCATGAATTTCCCAGGTGATCAGAACTGGACGAGGGCAGACAATCCCAGCTGCATGTTTTCCCCTTCCTGTTCGTTCTCATCCTTACCCAGTTCTTCTGTCCTCATGGCACTGGCTCAGCACTGGCATCTTCTTCCCCTCTCCCGCTTGCCATTCTTTTACTCTCAGAGGGAAGTTCTACTAGTGGAATCGTTGCTTAGCTATCCATACAGTTTCTTAGAAAAGGTATCTCCTTTTGCTCAGACCAGGATTCAGTTGCCTATAATAGTATTCCTCACCCTCTCTATCCCCTCAGCTGCTTTATTTGTCTTCATAGCACTTGTTACATTATGAGTAGGTTATTTATGTATTGTCTGTCTTCTCCACTACATGTCAGTTTCATAAAGGCATGGAATTTGGTTCTCTATTGTATCCCCAGTGCCTAGAACTGTGCTTGGCATTTAGTAGCTGCTCAGTAAGTATTTTGCTGTATAAATGAATTGCTTTATCTTCTCTGGATTCCATCCTAATCTCTTTTTCAGAGTCCTTTTATTATTGTAATTAACTAATTTATTTTACATCTTTGCTTTGTCTTAGACTTTTCCATCTTGATTGTCATCTAATTATAATCATTCACTGTTAACTTAAAATTAAAAAAAAATCCGACCTTCTTTGTATTCCTCTTTCCCCTTCATTTCTAAAACCTGTCCAGTCTTTACTCTGCCCACACCCCTCCTCTAGAACCTCTCAGGTCCCACATGACATCCATGTCATTAGATGTCTTGGGCTTGTCAGTCCTCATCTTATTTGACCATTCAACAGCACCAACCTCCATGATAATGTGTTCTGGTTTTCCTCTTAATCTCTGGGACCCTTCTTTCTCTGTATACTTTGGAGATGTGTTTTCCTGTAATTAGCTATCATGTATTGACATTCTTTATTGTTCATTGCTTGACCATCATAGTCTCCACCAAGGTCATTTAATAAATGCTCAGCATTAGGCACAATAGCAAAGGCATAGAAGCAACTTAAGTGTCCCCCAGTGGTGGTCTGGATAAAGAAAATGTGGTACGCATATACCGTGTAATACTATACAGCTATAAAAAAGAACAAAATCCTGCCCTTTACAGTGACATGGATGCAACTGGAGGCCATCATTCTTGGTGAATTTACACAAGAATATGGCATGTTCTCACCTGTAAGTGGGAGCTAAACACTGGGTTCATATGGACATAAGGATGGCAATAATAGACACTGGGGTCTACTAGAAGGGCTGGGTAGCGAGGGGGCCAAGGATTGAAAAAACTAACTCTTGGCTGCTATGCTGACCACCTTGTCAGCGGGATCAGTTGTACCCCAAACCTCAGCATCATGAAATATACCAAGGTAACAAACCTGCACATGTACCTGTGAATCTAAATAAAAGTTGAAATTATAAAAAGTAAGTTGCTAAGAGCTGCAATAACCATCCAGACAGCAGCTTACAAATGTGTATCTTTAGTTAGTAACTCTTTTCCAAGTTCCAGATTGATGTGTCCACAGTGCCTACAAAATTGTTTTTTAATCAGCTAGGCATGGTGGTGTGTTCCTGTAGTCCTAGCTGACTTGGGAGGCTGAAGCAGGATTGCTTGAGCCCAGAAAGTCAAGGCTCCAGTGAACCATGAGTGTGCCACTGCTCTCCAGCCCAGGTTGAGTGATAGAGAGAGAGAGAGAGCTATTTCTCAAAACAACAAAACAAAACATTAACTCTCAACATCCCCTCAACCTGTTTTTCATGATCAGACTGGGTCCAGAAGAGGAAAACATGTCCTTCCAGATATGGTTTTCTCCAAGTTGCTATCTTAGTGAATGGTATGCTTTTATAAAAAACAGAAAACAAGGTCAGGTGCAGTGGCTCAAGCCTATAATCCCAGCACTTTGGGAGGCTGAGGCGGGTGGATCACGAGGTCAAGAGATCGAGACCATCCTGGTCAACATTGTGAAACCCCGTCTCTACTGAAAATACAAAAATTAGCTGGGCATGGTGGCGTGCACCTGTAGTCCCAGCCACTCGGGAGGCTGAGGCAGGAGAATTGCTTGAACCCAGGAGGCAGAGGTTGCGGTGAGCCGAGATCGCGCCATTGCACTCCAGCCTGGGTAATGAGCGAAATTCCATCTCAAAAAAAAAAACAAAAACAAAACAGAGTTAACTTTGATTCAGCCTTCTTCCTCACTCCTCCATATTCAGTCTTTGATTATGATGTAAACCAAACAGACTCCATCTTGGATGTGAACCTGACAGACTCCATCTTAGCCTCTCCTTCCTTGCCATTCCCTCCTTCGGGTGCACAGCTGGGTCACGCTGTACCCAGAGCTTTGTAACCGTTGTAACCACAATCTGCTCGGCAATTCCCCAGCTATTGTGTATACTCGTCTTGGTAACCAGCAACTGTGGGAACCTCCTGCCTCCTGGTTTCCAGCTTCCTTAACTTGCTTGTTCTGCTTCTGTAAAATTCCGCTTCAGCCAGACTCCCCCTCCCCTTTCTCCTAGAATAGTTATAAAAAGAAATCACATCCTCCTTTTCGGGGCCAAGAGATTTTTGAGCATGAGCTGCTCTTGGTCACTGGCAATAAGGGACTCTCAGTTGAAACTCAGAGTATGGCTCTTTCCTTCTGACTTGCTTGGGTATAACAATTAAGCCTTGTCATTTTTACCTTCTAAATAGTTCCAGAATTCAGTCACTTCTCTTCAGTGCTGCAAGTCATTATCGTCTTTTATAGGTATCACTGCTAAAGCCTCCTCACCAGTTTCTTCAGTTCTGATCTTGGCCCCATGTCAATCAAGGGTCATCTTTTCGTGTGACTTTTTATTTGAAATCCTGCAGATTTACAGAAAAGTCGCAAGAATAGTACAAACAATTCCTAATTGCCTTTATCAATTTATTGGCATTTTAACAAGTTTGTTTTATCATTTCCTCTTTATATATATATACGCATACTTTTTTTCTGACCCATTTGAGAGTGAGATGCAGACATAATGCTCCTCACCCATAAATGCTTGAGTGTATTTCCAAAGAGCAAGGATATCCTTTAACACAACCATGGTACATAGTGTACCAGTGTCTAATCTGTATATACCTTATACATATGTCCCTACTTTTACCAATTCATAATTTCACTATGAAACCCTTTATGGCAAAAGAAAAAATGATAATTTCTCATCCAGAATCTCACGTGGATTCCATCCACACTACATTTAGCTGTCATTTCTTTAGACCCCTTTAATCTGGAAGACTTTCCTAGTTGGTCTGTTACGACCTTGAGGTTTTTAAGAGTGTGGCCAATTATTTCATACAACAACTTTCAATTTGGGTTTGTCTGATGTTCCCTCATGATTAGGTTGGGGTTATTGTTTTTGGTAGGAATACCATGCTGATGATGGTGTCTATTATCAGAAGGCATATGGTTCATTTTCCCCACAGTCATCACTTAGAAGCACAGATGTAATCTTACCTTATTTAAAACCTTTCAGTGGTTTTTCATTGCTCTTAGGATAAACACCACACTCATCTCGGCGTATCAGGCGTCATGCCTGCCCCTCCACTACCTTCCTTATACTCTGCCTCTTGTTCTTTGTTTCTGTCTATTAAATAGTTTCAAAGAAATCTTTTGACTCCTTCCTCACAGCAGTCACATATACTGTTTTTTCAGCTTGGAAGGCTCTATGAGATCATCTGTGACTACAGTTTCAATGTAGGAAGGGCATAATGATGGTGTTCTAGCTGATGGGGACTCGGAGGGAGTGTCTTGGAATCTGCTCAGTTCCATGTGAATAACCTTCATGGATGATGCCCATGCCAAGGATGGGTGAGAAGGACTGCAGGAACCTGCTGGGTGTGCACCATGGAATACTGCACAGACATAAAACAGAACAGAATCATGCCCTTTGCAGTGACATGAATGCACTGGAGGCCATTATTCTTGGTGAATTAACACAACAACGGAAAACCAATTACTGCATGTTCTCACCTGTAAGTGGGAGCTGAACTTTCTCTATTGTCTCAAGCCCTGCCCCTGGTTTCCCCTTGCTCTGCTCCTGTCCAGATCTCAACGCAGTCCTCATGTCCCCAGGGAAATCTTTTCATGCTGCCTCCACTTGTCCCCATTAATTTGCATCCTGACTAGATTCAGGTCCCTCACCTGCTTCCTCGGCAAGAGGGAGTGTTTTCTCACAGTCCTATTGCCAGCACCTAGTCCTACTACAGGCATCTTGACATGCAAATAAAGATTCCTAAATCAGCGAGTGAAAAGATGAACAGCTCATGCTCCTGCAACACTGCACCCTGTAATGAGGCTCTTCCCTCTTTCCTTTTTCTTGAAAGACCTCCTCCACCTTCACTTCCTAACTCCTATTTTCTGCTCTGCTACCTCACTGCAAACTGTCAAAAGTGCCTTTTCTGCGTGAACCCATAGCACCTCCTGCATAGTTGGTAGCGTAGTTTCACTCTTTTTGCCCAGGCCGGAGTGCAATGGTGAGATCTTGGCTCACTGCGACCTCTGCCTCCAGGTTCAAGTGATTCTCTTGCCTCAGCCTCCCGCGGAGCTGGGATTATAGGCATGCACCATCATGCCCAGCAAATTTTGTATTTTTGGTAGAGACAGGGTTTCACCATGTTGGCCAAGCTGATATGGAACCCCTGGCCTCAGATGTTCCACCTGCCTTGGCCTCCCAAAGTGCTGGGATTATAGGCGTGAGCCACCATGCCCGGCCATCTTATTAGATTTCTATGGAAAGATCTCTATCTCCTTGTTTACGAAGTTTTCATAGTCGAACTTTGTAATCATTAAAAGCAAAATAATAAGTTCCCCTTTGGTAAATTAAAGTTTACTCTTTATGATTTATTCATTAACTCATTGGAACACAGTAAGCAAATATTTTCATTCCTGTAGTCAGCATCCCTTTGCCATGTGGTGACATATTTTCATCCCTTTGTCTTTGGCACTGTTGTCACAACGTGATTGTGATTTCCTTTGAGCATTCAGTCCTATCTACTAGCAGTGGCTCTAACCCAAAGTAACCCCCCAGGTATAATAGATGGCTTTGATGTTATTAAAGAATGTTTTCCAGGAGTTTAAACCACAACACCTGAAAATTTTGCTTTTAAAAAAATTGTATTCTGATAAGCAACATACTATTTCTAAACATTTGTTGAGACAGCTAACTGCATCTGTTATCTGATTTGTGTGGGTCTGATGGGGAGCAGACGGAATGGAGTGTGTCTTTTGATCCAGTTCTCTTCGCAAAGGGAAGTGGATATTTACAACCTTATTTTAGAGAGTTAACATGCATGAGATGAGACCAGTGTCTGCATTGTCTTGTCCTTACATTTTTATTGGAATGCTTGCTTTCTTAGTGTGATCTGATAGCAAACATATTTTTCAAGAAGTAAGAAGTCTTCAAAACATATGACTATGAAATGAGATGATAATTAAAACAACTAATGGTAATGACATAATTATCTGAAGAGTTAGAGCAAAAAAACTCCCAGAGTTTAAAAAAATGTTTATCAGGTGTGATTTATACCAGTCAAATTTGATTCTCTCAGTAGTGATTTTTTATTTTTTTTGACCCAGGCTCTTGTTTCAAAACAAGATCTTGATTTGTTGCAGTGGCACCATCACAGCTCTCTGCAGCCTTGATCTCCTGGGCTCAAGTGATCCTCCCTCCTTGGTCTCCCAAGTAGTTGACAGGCATGTACCACCACACCCTGCTAATTTTTCAATTTATTGTAGAGACAGGGTCTCACTGTGATGCCCAGGCTGGACTCAAGCTCCTGAGTTCAAATGATCCTCCCACCTCAACCTCCCAAAGTGCTGGGATTACAGGTGTGAGCCACCACACCCGGCCTCCAGTAGTGATTTTCCTTCTCTAGTATGAAATCAATATTCTCAATTTTGCATAAGTAAAGGCAAAGTGTAAACAGTTAATCTAGATAAAGGATTAGTGTGTGAGAGTCCATTGTATTCACATCCTTGCAGCTTTTCTCTAAGTTTGGAATTACTGTCAAAATTATTTGCCCCAACCTAATAATTAAAAGTCTCCCCCCATCCTCACTTTTTTCTGAAATTAGATGCATTTATATTTTATTCAGGTTTTTAACCATTTCTAGAAGATTGATGAATATTCACATATTTATGCTTTTATGATGACTTCATAGCTATCATCTAATTACAGATTTAGCCTCTGATGAGATTGTTTTGGGAAGAGGAAGAGTGACCATACAAATACTTGGTTTCTGATTATGTTAGTCCCACACCCTTCTTTGCCCTTAACTTCTGCATCACAGATGTTAATTTCATAGTGATTGTTGAAATCCTTTTGCCATCCAGCATGGAATCCTGATGGGCTTTTTCTTCACACATTGCCTTGATCATTAAGCTTTCAATTTTCCTGGCATACAGTTTTCTCTCCTGAGTTATTGGCACTTTCAGCTTCTATTATATTTCTTCTGGTCAACTAGTAGTACACAGTTAAATCTTGAGATTACTAGTAGTAAATGATTTTTTTTAATTCAGATTTTTAAAATGTAACATGTACATGAAATTGACCTCATCTGCTAGAAGCTGTTCACTTTAGACATGGTGTCATTTTGTAACACTTGGGAAAACTAGCTTCATTCTCCAGAATTGGAAACTCAAGTCACAGGTGACAGGTGATTAATCCGCTTGTAAAGCAGTGAACTCAAAGCATGGACTGGACTGGAATTCAGGTATTCGGGTTTGTGCGAATGCTGACCGGTAGATAGTGAGCCTCCCAGTAGGGCAGTGTTCTCATCAGAGCTCCTAACCTCTGCATCTGTTTTTTCACCCGCAATAAGACGATGCCTGTTCTGTCCTGTCCTAAGGACTGTTGTCAAATACAAACAAGGGAAAGGGCTGGGCATGGCTCACGCTTGTAATCCAAGCACTTTGGAGGCCAAGGCGGGCAGATCACCGCAAGTCGGGAGTTCAAGACCAGCCTGACCAACGTGGTGAAACCCCGTCTTTAAAAAAAAATAATAATAATAAGGGAAAGAAGACGGGGTGATTGGAAAACTATAAAAGGTTCTCGTGTCTCATCTTTCTTTTTTCTTTATTATTCTGCATAGGATTCTTTTTGTTTTTCCAATTTTCTGCTAAACTATTTGACCTTTTAATATCCTATTGCCACGTAATTTTTAAGCTTGATACAGCATGATTATTTCTCCTATTTTTTTTTAATTGGTATTTAGGGTAAGCACTACTGCCAGTAATTTTAAACTGTTTTTAACTTAATGGAGACAGTACAGTCACCATGAAATCATAGAGGATTATAATCTATTTAGGTTAATTTAATCTTTTATTTTGCAGTCCCAGACTGTCTAATCTTCCTGGCTGGTCCCTGAAGGATGGAAATGCTTTCTTGGACAAGGTAATGTCTAAGACTACAAACTAAAGCCACCTACACCTAGTGGAAAGCTGTCTTCTCATACCAGAGGCACCCTGTAGTAGTGCGACTGACAGCTTTTTTTTTTTCCTCTCTGAAAAACCCTAAGATCTCTGCTGGGGTCTTTAGGACACAGTAACTACTGTTTTTAAGCACCTTTTAGAGAATGTCGGTGTTGGGATTCAGATCCAATTTGCTCACATGTAGACATCGAAATACTTCTGCTGCAAATACCTTTTATCACCACAGAAAGAAAACTATTATTTCTAGAATTGAAATGAGCATTTCAAAGACAAGGCTTTTTAAAGAATTCAATCCAGTTCATTTTGTGATTGGAAGGAGTAAAAATCTTTTTAAAAATAACTTTAAAATCCTCAAGTAAACTGCCCAGATCAGGTAGGGTTTTATAAAAAGCTTGGGTCTTCTTTGGGTCATGAGAGGCCATGGAAGGTTGTGGAAGGACAGTGGCACTGTCAGCTGGGACCACTCTGGCCACTGTGTGGGGAACAGTCTGAGGAACAGAGTGTTTGGCTTCCCGGGCAGTGCCGCCTTGTGCAGGGGGCTGGGGGCAGTGCTCTTAGGTTAATTTGAATAGAGGGTCTCCCATGGTGTGATCTGTGATCCTGTTTCAACCTGTCCTGATAGCCTAGAATGGGCAATCTTTATAGATTATTCAAAGAAAAAAAAAAAAAACACAGTTCCAGCAATCTGGGATTTGGAGTCCTATTATGACTTTAATGACTGACTACGCCTAAAATAAATGGCTTAAATTACTTCTTTCTCTTCAAGTCTATTAAATTTTTGACATTACATTTTCTTTTCAGTAATTCCTTCCTCAGATCAATAGTTAGACCGTTAACTTAATAAATGAAAGACCAAAGCTACCAAAAATTTTTACAACTTTAACCTAGTGAAACTTGGTACTAAAATCAGAGGTAGAGGAAGATTAAAGACTATGAAGCCCACTCAGGCCACGTCTTAGTTCCCTAAATCATTCTTCCTTTCCTAGGTTTCACATTGAAAAACTGAGTTTAAAGATGCTTAAAATGATTCATCTAAATAAGGCATTTTCTCTTGCAACAGATACTGTTTAATTAAGAGGTGCCGTTTTTACAAAATTAATTTCTGTAACTGCACCCTAACCTCACATACAAACCAAATGCATAATTTGACGCCAGATTTTCTTCAGAGGTGACTGTAAAATTATGTGACATTCAGAAACCTGTGCACCTGATTTCAGCCTGAGTCTCCTGCTGGCTATAAATCATTGTTCCCTGCAGAAGGCTCCGAAGCATCCCATTACCAGCGCATTGTGAGTGAAATGACTTGCATGTGTATGTGAGAGTATTTCATTAGAAGGGAGTGGTGAATAAAATACAATGACATTGTAAGTGTTTGGAATGGCAAATACGCTTCTGCAGGCCAGGAAGGATGAGAGCCTTCAAGGAGACTATCATATACCCTATTCCTGAAATGTAGCCTTATGGGGAAGAAGATTACATAGCCAATTTAAAACCAGGCGAAGCTTTGAAATTTCACATGATTTGTCTTTAATCATTTTTAACCTCATCCTGAGGGAGTGGGGAGTCTTCTCCCATTAAACCTAATTGCTCATTTGTTTTTAGCTGTCAGGTACATTGTAAGTGAGAACTGTGTTCAGTCTCCTTTCAGCTCAGCCTGTCACTAGTTAAATGGTACTCTTCTATGGAGAGGAACCAGAGCGTTGAGGGGAAGGCAAGAGAAGGAAATCGTCTATCAAGGTTCTGATATGAGACTTAGAAAATTCAAAAGGACGGTATTACTTAGTCAGTGCCCTATATTCAGATAAACATTGAGAGTGAAATCATTCAGACTCTGATATGTAAATATAGATACATATAAAGTATTGATATGCGAGATTATAAAATTAACAGGACGAAAGTATGCCAAATTGCAGGGTCTTTATTGCCTGCGACCATGGAGGACTCACGTCTCTCCAACCCGTGGCCCTGAATGGAGGGTGACAAGACTCTTTTATACCCGTAAACCACCTCCGGGGGTGGGGGTGAAGGGATTCAGACATTCTGAGGGCCAGGGGATTTTGTAAATCACCTCCCGGGCAGAGAAGAGGGAGCGGGTCTCCGGACATTCCAAGGGCTAGGGGACTTGTTGTCACTTGGATTGTTACCTAAGTGGTTTACAGAAGTGAAGGTAAGCGTTAGTTTACACATTGTCTGGGCAGTATTAGAATCCACAGATTTTAGTTACTTATTATGAGTCACAGGAGCCAGGATGGAATTAACTTGGGCTGCTTATTCTGGTCATTACCGGTAAGCAAAGGCCAGCAATTCTGGTAGTCACTGATAAGAAAAGGTAAGCAGCTTTGCATAGGGAGCACTTTGTAGAGCAAACTAGCAGTTTTATTTACAGAAGCCAAGGTTAGCAGTCGTTGTGAGGAGAATGGGGCAACTTATTTTTTGGAAAACAGCTTTTGTCCTTTATAAAATGGTGTTGCTCAGGTTCCAGCTATAGCACACATGTATATATGGATGTGTACAATATATGTTCAGTGACGAATGGACACATGATAGAACAAACTTAAAGCAGTATCTTTCCCTTTCTGGAAAGAGCAAAGGAAGCTGTCAACTACATTCTGTCTTTTACTGGTTTCAATGTAAAGTCAGAGGTAGTTTTAACCTTGATGGTGCAAAAAATTCACTGTGGACTTCAGTTTAAAGTGTCAGTGAGGGGAGAAAGCATTTGTGGCCTTCAGGAGGCATTGTAGCAGCCCATATTGGTAGCCCACCCATATCTCTAAGACTTTGCTATTTCGGTGTCCTCTGTCATCACTCCAGCTGCCAGTATCTGTCTGGCTTTGCCTGAGAGGTTTTTTCTGAGGCTGCACACAATGCAGGAGTTGGTATATAAACATTCCAAGTGGGGTAGCTCGGAAGTGTCTCTGTTACACCATTTCTAAATTTCCCCATAGGGATAAGTTCCAGTTGCCCAAAGTAGTATGTGGCTCAGTGGCAAAGCCATTATCTGTCACCTTCCTTTGCACTGATCACTTCCCCCTTCTCCTGTATTCTCAGCACCTCACATATAAACTTCCTGTTCTCAAGCTCTTTTCTCAGGGTCAGCCTGTGGGGGAATTTAAGACAGGTTTATTAAATCTGGTGGGTCATGGGTGGGGTGAGAAGTTGGACTATATCTGTTTCTTTATAAATACGCTGTTTTCTTTTGAATAAATACATTTGGTTTATAATGCTAAATAAATAGTATGTTCCGCAAGGAAAAACATTACATTCATGGTGGTAATGATGACAGTGGTCATGGTGGAGGTGGTGGCCGTGGAGGTGGTAAAGGTGATGGTGGTGGTCATGGTTGAGGAGGAGGAGGCAGAGGAGGTGGTAGGGGTGGTGGAGGTGATGGTGGTGGTGGTGGTGATGGTAGTGGAGGAGGATGTGGTGGTTGAGGAGGAGGTGGTGGTAGAGGTGGTGGAGGTGATGGTGGTGGTGGTGGTGGTGGTGGTGGTGGTAGTGGAGGAGGATGTGGTGGTGGAGGAGGAGGTGGTGGTAGAGGTGGTGGAGGGGATGGTGGTGGTGGTGGTGGTGGTAGTGGAGGAGGATGTGGTGGTGGAGGAGGAGGTGGTAGTAGAGGTGGTGGAGGAGGTGGTGGTAGAGGTGGTGGAGGTGGTGGTGGTGGTGGTAGTGGAGGAGGAGGTGGTAGTAGAAGTGAAGGTGATGGTGGTGTTGGTGATGGTGGTGGTGGTGGTGGTAGTGGAGGAGGATGTGGTGATGGTGGAGGTGGTGGAGGTGATGGTGGTGGTGGTCATGGTAGTGGAGGAGTTTATGGTGGTTGGGGACAAGAAGGTGGAGGTAGAAGTGGTGAAGGTGATGGTGGTGGTGGTGGTGGTCGTCGTGGTGGTAGTGGAGGAGTTTATGGTGGTGGGGGACAAGGAGGTAGTGGTAGAAGTGGTGAAGGTGATGGTGGTGGTGGTGGTCCTGGTAGTGGAGGAGGAGGTGGTGGTAGAGGTGGTGGTGGTAGTGGAGGAGGAGGTGGTAGTAGAAGTGGTGAAGATGATGGTGGTGTTGGTGATGGTAGTGGTGGTCATGGTAGTGGAGGAGTTTATGGTGGTGGGGGACAAGGAGGTAGTGGTAGAAGTGGTGAAGGTGATGGTGGTGGTGGTGGAGGTGTTGGTGATGGTGGTGATGGTGGTCCTGGTAGTGGAGGAGGATGCGGTGGTACAGGAGGAGGTGGTGGTAGAGGTGGTGGAGGTGGTGTTGGTTGTGGTAGTGGTAGTGGAAGAGGTTGTGATGGTGGAGGAGGAGGTAGCGGCAGAGGTGGTGGAGGTGATAGTGGTGGTGGGGTGGTTGTAGTAGTGGAGGAGGTTGTGGTGATGGTGGAGGAGGAGGTGGTGGAGGTGATGATGATGGTGGGGGTGGTCATGGTAGTGGAGGAGGTGGTAGAGGTGGATGTGGAATCTCTGTTTCTGGCTCTTAACCCTCACTCCTTACATGCCCCTTTCCTTCCAACCCTTGATAGGTGGAGAAAGAACCTCTAAACAGTTTATGTAGGGCCATGACTCCTAGCCTGACAGCATAACAGGATCACTGGAGGTGCTTGTTATAAATACACACTCCATGGCCTCATCCCCAGTTTCTGATCCCTTCAGTGTTAGATAGGGCCAGGGATCTTTAAGGTATTCCATATCCCCACATAATTCTGGTGTTGCCAGTACAGTTTGCAAACCTTATTTGGAAATCACTGGATTGTGGATTATGGGAGCAGCACATACCCATGAATGGCTTTCTTGAAGAAGCTTCAAGAAATGTGCATTCAAGTCCTGAGTCTGCAACTAACCGGCATTTTACCCTTAATAAGACACTTGGCCTGCCCGAGCCTAAACACAGGACAGGTGGCCTAATAACCTCCCAGCCTCCCTCCAACTCCAGTAGTCTGATTCTTCGTGAAAAGTTTGGTTTGGGGAATATATTTCATTGGTCTGTATCTACTGAATATCTCTTCCTTGTATTTTTCCTGTTCATTTATTTTAGGAGCTAAAGGAGTGCTCAGGTCATGTATTTGTGGATTCTGTGCCTGAATTCTGTTTACCAGAGGTAAGACTAAAGTGAATCTTATTGTAGAAACAAACCTTCTTAGGTAATTTCTCAAAATGAAGTCAAGAAATAATTTTAAGAGGCTTAGCTTCCTGTTTTCAAGTTTAAATGAATCTGTTATTCCAGGCACATTGTTACACGGGTAAAATGTGATCATTTAGCAGCTTTTTATATTGTCTATAAATCATTTAAGTCACTTTCTTCTTCCTATTTCTGGTTCTTTCTATAATCCCCGCTAATACTATGGCATAGTTTTGAGCAAGGTAAGGAAATAACTCAGGTCTTCTAGTTTAGTGATTCTGATGCCTTTGTGCTTAGGTTAGCCGTAGGTGTCTGGTCTGGCTTTATGGTGGGTAATTGAGAATTGCTGTTATTTAGCCAATGCCAGGAAACTGTAAAAATTCCTGCTGACTTGACATACCATATTGGTTATTGTTTGACATTCAGAGGTTTCTGAACTGAGTCATAGAAAACGGTCACTTGCAGGCCGGGCGCGGTGGCTCACGCCTGTAATCCCAGCACGTTGGGAGGCCGAGGCGGGTGGATCACGAGGTCAAGAGATTGAGACCATCCTGGTCAACATGGTGAAACCCCATCTCTACTAAAAGTACAAAAAATTGGCTGGGCATGGTGGCACGTGCCTGTAGTCCCAGCTACTCGGGAGGCTGAGGCAGGAGAATTGCCTGAACCCAGGAGGCGGAGGTTGCGGTGAGCCGAGATCGTGCCATTGTACTCCAGCCTGGGTAACAAGAGCGAAACTCCACCTTAAAAAAAAAAAAAAAGAAAATGGTCACTTGCTATTATCATCGCAGGGAGACTGGTGTGGGGCCAGTTTCATCCTTTCAAAGGAAACTAAGATCAGTGTCCATTTTTTTAAAGGCAGGTAATCTCAGCTGGGAGGCCTAAACCCCAGAGTAGCTTAGGTGCGGTTCTCAACAGTCATGTGAAATGTGGAAAGCCAGAGCTGCTCTGGGGTTCATCAGAAGCTGCCATCCTCTTTTTTCCATATGCCCAGTGGATCACAGTGCCTGTAGAAAATACTTCCACAAATTAAGGGCCAAAGAGAAAAGGAATTTGGAGTGCAGTTTCTCTTATATTTGTTTTCTTCCTTCTCTTTCCGTTTCTCCACTTTGTTTAATATCCTGTAGATCAACATTTTTCTCTCTTTTGGAAGTAGGTATATGTGTCTTTGAGGGTACCAGAGCAAGCAGAAAAAGAAAAGCAGGTAACGTGGTAATTGCAGGTGGCAGATAATGGAGTAAGTAGTAATGGATTTAGTAGTAAGCTTAGAGCTGAAGGAATCCAAGAATCCAGATCTCTCCCTCACCATTAACTACAATCATTTTGTCATCCTTATTTGTCACTTAGGAGTTGATAGGGAAGGTCCCATCTGTTTGAACATTCCTAATCCTAGATGCCACATTTATTTTCAGTTTACCACATGTGACACTGACTACTGCATCCTGCTGTTTGTGACACCACTGTAATATTTATGAATTGCTCTTCCGATGGCTCTCTGACTTGCTCTGTAGGGCACTCAACTTTTAAATTAGACAGTTATCATTCCAAGTTCACTTTTGCCAACCTAAAGGATTATTGATAATATTTAGGTTCTAGAGCCATATACATTTTTTCAAGCGAGATTTTAGGGCACAGATTAGTAATGGTCCCTGTTTTAAGGTAGAGCCAGGCCTTGTATGATTGGAAAACAATGAGAGTAATGGAAGCAGGAGAGAGACACTTATTATAGCCCAGTCTTAACTGACTTGTGGGTGAGCCACACAGCCAGAATTCCAATCCTCATGAAATTTATGAACTAGTATTTATGTGTCTTCGAGGGTACCACAGCAAGCAGAAAAAGAAAAGCAGACAAACATGGTAATTGCAGGTGGCAGAGAAGGGGGAAAGTTTAAATAGCTAAATATCTCTGTATTCCCCAGAGTCTGCACCGTAGACTGTGTATACAGTTCAGCACAGTACAGTGTCCAACTAGCAAATGGGGGTTGTTTTGATTGCATTTATGGTCTATAGAACCCCAGGTGTTTGTATACAGCAGTTTCATTTACTTTTGTTTTTTATTTTGAGACGAAGTCTTGCTCTGTAGCCCAGGTTGGAGTGCAGTGGCTCTATATTGGCTCACTGCAGCCTCCGCCTCCCAGGTTTCAGCGATTCTCCTGCCTCAGCCTCCCGAGTAGCTGGGACTACAGGCACACACCCCCATGCCCAGCTAACTTTTTAAATTTTCAGTAGAGATGGGGTTTCATCATGTTGGCTAGGCTGGTTTCAAACTCCTGACCTCAGGTGATCTGCCTGCCTCGGCTTACCAAAGAGCTGTGATTACAGGCGTAAGCCACCACGCCCGGCTGTATATAGCAGTTTTAAAGATAGAGTGGTCTTTATTGGATTCCATGAAGTGAACATATGTAAGTAAGTATGTGAGTTCAGTTGACCCTTGAACAACACAAGTTTGAACTGGGAAAGTTCACTTACACATAGTATTTTTCAGTATGTTGGTAATATTGGAAAAAATTTTGGAAATTTATGACAATTTCAAAAAAACCTGCAGATGAATTGCATAATCTAGATACAGCAAAAGATTAAGAAAAGTTAGGTATGTCATGAATGCATAAAATATGTATAGAAACTAGTCCACCATAAAGTATACACAAATTTATTATAAAAGGATAATTTTTTTTTTGAGACAGGGTCTCGCTCTGTTGCCCAGGCTGGAGTGCAGTGGCCTGATCTCAGCTCACTGCAACCTCCGCCTCCTGGGTTCAAGCAATTCTCCTGCCTCAGCCTCCCAAGTAGATGGGATTACAGGTGCCCATCACTATACCCGGCTAATTTTTGTATTATTAGTGGGGATGGGTTTTTGCCATTTTGGCCAGACTGGTCTTAAACTCCTGACCTGAGGAGATCCCCCACCTTGACCTCCCAAAGTGCTGGGATGACAGGCATGAGCCCCACACTCAGCTGATTTTTTTTTTTTTTTTTTTTTTTTTTTGAGACCGAGTTTCATTCTTGTTACCCAGGCTGGAGTGCAATGGCGCTATCTCGGCTCACCACAACCTCCGCCTCCTGGGTTCAGGCAATTCTCTTGCCTCAGCCTCCTGAGTAGCTGGGATTACAGGCACACGCCACCATGCCCAGCTAATTTTTTGTATTTTTAGTAGAGACGGGGTTTCACCATGTTGACCAGGATGGTCTCGATCTCTGGACCTCATGATCCACCCGCCTCGGCCTCCCAAAGTGCTGGGATTACAGGCGCGGTGGCTCATGCCACCGTGCCTGGCCCCTTTTTTTTTTTTTTTTTTTTTTTAAGACTAAGTCTTGCTCTATTGCCCAGACTGGAGTGCAGTGCCGTGATCTCACTGCAACCTCCACCTCCCTGGCTCAAGCCATCCTCCTACCTCTGCCTTCCAAGTAGCTGGGATGACGGTTGCATACAACCACACCCTGCTAACTTTTATATTTTTTGTAGAGATGAGGTTTTGCCTTGTTGCCCAAGCTGGTCTTGAAGTCCTGAGCTCAAGCCATCTGCATCAGCCTCCCAAAGTGCTGGAATTACAGATGTGAGCCACCACGCCCAGCTGAAAAAGTTAAAATTTATCAAAACTATGCACACCGACATTTCAGACCATGCATGACACCATTTGTAGTCAAAAGAAACGTAAACAAGCATTAAGATTCGGTATTAAATCATATGCATGAAACTAATAGTAGTACAGTATGTAACTTCATAGCCACCTCCTATTGCTGTCGTGGCCAGCTCAAGTATCTGCTTAAAACATCGTGTGGTGCCAGTCATCTCCACATGAGCAGTTCGCCTCTCCTGTAAATTGCATATTGCGATAAAGCGTGATCTCTTGCAGTTCTCATATATTTTGCATCATGTTTAACGCAGCACCGTAAACCTTGAGTGACACTATGGAACCCTTGTGAAGTGCCACTAGTGATGCTTGAAGTGCCCCCAGGAAGCAAAGTCATGACATTACAAGGAAAAGTCGAAGTGCCTAATATGTACATTGAGGTCTGCAGCTGATATTGCCCGTAATTCAAGACAAATGAATCCAGCATAAGCATTCACTTGTTAAAAACAAAAAACAAAAAGAAGGGCCGGGCTCGGTGGCTCATACCTCTAATCCCAGCAGTTTGGGAGGCCAAGGTGGGCGGATCATGAGGTCAAGAGACTGAGACCATGGTGAAACCCCATCTCTACTAAAAAATACAAAAATTAACTGGGCGTGGTAGTGCACGCCTGTGGTCCCAGCTACTCAGGAGGCTGAGGCAGGAGAATTGCTTGAACCCAGGAGGCAGAGGTTGCAGTGACCTGATATCGTGCCACTGCACTCCAGCCTGGCCACAGAGAGAGACTCTTGTCTCAAAAAAAAAAAAAAAAGAAGAAGAAAAGAAAAATAAGCGAACATACATGAAGCTGTCACTCTAGCTACACCAGCAGGCCTGAAAACCTTGTACTTCTTGTGAGATGGCATTTTTACCTTGTATTGAAGATGTGGCTTTATGTGGGTACAGGACTGTTGTAAGAAAGGCATACCTGTAATGTGATTCAAGAAAACGTGAAATCGTTCTGTGACAACTTAAAGCAAAAGGAAAGCTTAAAAAATGTTTTTTTTTAAGAGATAACAGGAAAAGCAGCTTTCTGTGGCCAAGAGATGACAGACTAATTCCTAGATGCCATTAAGAAAATCATTGAGGAGAAAGACTATCTGCCTGAACAGGTTTTTAATGCAGATGAAAGTGTCCTATTCTGGGAGAAAATGCCACAAATGTCATTTATTAGGAAGAGAAGTGAGTTCCAACACTTAAGGCAGGAAGAGATAGGCTAACTCCACTGTTTTGTGCAAATGCACTTGGGTTTATGATCAGGACTGCCTTTGTCTATAAAGCTGCCAACCTCTGATCCTTGAAGGAAAAAGAAAAACACCAGCTGCCAGTCGTTGGCTTGTACAAGAAAGCCTGGACAGCAAGAACCACTT